TTCTCTTCTCTTCTCTTCTCTTCTCTCCTCTCCTCTCCTCTCTTCTCTTCTCTTCTCTTCTCTCTTCTCTTCTCTCTTCTCTTCTCTTCTCTTCTTTTCTTCTCTCTCTCTCTCTCTTTCTCTCTTTCTCTCTTTCTCAAAGCCAGAGATCAGGACCATGGTGTCACTAGCAGATAAAGAAACCCTGTCCCACTCCCCATCCCAGGACAGTTCTGAGCCCCTCTCTCCCTTGGAATGACCCCAGATCCCTCAGAGCCCAGACTGTAATGCTTAAAATAGCCACACGGTGGTGATACAGGAGCAAAAAGGAGTCCTCCTAAATCCCTAAAAGGCCAGTCTCAGGATCTCAAAGCCCCTTCCTTAGCCACCACCCAGGGTCACATGGAAACTCAATGCCCTAAGAGCTCTGGCAAGAGGGCTGATCCTCACACCATTGTGTGTGTGTGTGTGTGTGTGTGTCTGTGTGTCTGTGTGTGTGTCTGTGTGTCTGTGTGTGTCTGTGTGTCTGTGTGTTTGCAGGGTATTTGTGCTTGTCAGCACTAGTGGGTCAGTCCACACGATCCCAGAATATTAAAGCTGAAAGGTAACTAAAATCATTGGGTTTTAGCACCCTCATTTTATACCGATAGAAACTGAGGCCCAGAGAGGGAAACTATCCCAAGGTCACAAGAATCAGGAGCAGAGTTATAGAAACCCCAAGCACGCAGGGAGAATTGGCAGCCATCTTCCTCCCCCAGTTCATCACAGCTCTCTGTCTCCTGTCCATTCCCTAATTCCCCATTTTTGGAAAGAGAAGTCTTCATCCAGGGCCCCCCTTGGGGAGGTCATCAGCTCCCAAGGATTTGAGCATCATTGAGATGTGGATGAGGGTACATGCCCAGCCCTAATCTCTCTCCTGAGCTGCATCACCAGCTGCCTGCTGAACACCCCCTAGCTGTTCTGGAGGCATCTCCAGCTCAACATGTCCAAAATGGAACTCAGCTTCTCCCCTAAACTCACCCTTCCTTTCTCCAAACTTCCCTGTTTCTCCACCATTCTCTTAATCACCCAGGTTAGTAACCTTGGAGTCATCATGGCTTTTTCTCTTCCTCACCTCCCATGTCCAGTCAGTTGACAAGCCCCATTCATGTCTCTTGAATATGTCCCCTTCTCTCACTACTGCCAAACCAGCTCAGGCCCCCCCTAACCTTTCCTAGACTGTTAAGAATTTCCAGTCTTTCTCCTCTCCAACCCATTTGTAGATGCAGAAATAGTCTCCCTAAATCACAGGTCTGGCAATGTCACTTCCCTGCTCAAAAATCTATAGTGGCTCCCTATTAATTCTACAATTAAATAAGAACTCCTGGGCTGGCCATTTAAGCCCTTTCCATTTTTCTTTTTGGAGGCAATCAGGGTTAAGTGACTTGCCAGGGTCACACAGCTAGTAAGTATCTGAGGCTGGATTTGAATTTAGGTCTTTCTGACTTCAGGGCCAGTGCTCTATCCACTGTGCCATCTAGTTGCCCTTGTTTCGGGTCCTTTCTAATCTGGTTGGGGCTGAGTTCTTCAATTATTTCACATTACTCCCATTCATGACTATATCCCAGCTGTTTCCCAGGGAATAGAAGCAATTGAGGCAGTTAGGCGGCCCAGTGGATGGAGAGCTGGACCCGGAGTCATGAAGATGGAGGTCAAATGCTAGCTCACACACCTTCTACCTGTGTGACCTTGGCCAAGTCACTTTAACTCTGGTGGTTCCTCAATTGTTGAATGGGAATAATAATGGCCCTTCTCTCCCAGAGTTATGAGGATTAACTGAGAAAAGACTTGACCTTAAAACCACCCTCCAACACTTTGGAGCAATGTAACCCTGGGCAAATCACTTAATCTCTGCCTCTCTTTCATGATCTGTAAAATCAGGTTAATAAATCCCACTCCTAAAGGCTAAGGGAGAATTGAGACAATATTGTAAAATGTTTACAAACCTTAATATGTTATATAGATGCTAGCTAATATGAGGAGGAGGAAGAGGAGTGAGGGAATAAGCATTTATTAAGCACCTACTATGTGCCCGGCATTATTTTGGGCACTTTACAGATTTGATCCTCATCAACAACCCAGTGAGGTAGGTGCTATTATCCCCACTTTGAGGAAACTGAAGCAGACAGAGGTTAATGCCTAACATGCATTCAGAGTCCCACTTCCGGTGTGCATACAGGCCCTCCTCCAACAGGGAATGCTCTTGCTTCTCATCTCCCGTTGCTTCCATCCTCGATAAACCCCTAAGCTCAGCTCAGGGGCCACCTCCTATTCCATCTCAACCAGCTGCTGCTGTGTATATATCGCATATCACCCAGCAGAATCCAAGCACTTTGAGGGTAAGGATTATTTAATCCTTGTCTGTGTATTCCCCGTGCCTAGCACAGTGCCTGCAACGTGGGAGGGTGTGGAAGTTAGAATTTAAATGAATGGAAATTGATCGTCCTTTCAGAGCGAATTTCTCCCTCTCTGTGTGGGCATCCTGCCAGTGGCTTCTTCTTTCCCTTACTGTTGCTTTCCCTGGCTCCTTCCCTTCCTCCCACACTCCCTTTCTTCTGTCCTGAGGCCTGTGCCTGGCTCTGCTCCTAGTTTGCTGTCTCTCTGTGCCTCTGTGTCTCAGTCTATCTCTGTCTCTATGACAAGCTGGGAATAATCCAGACGAGGGTGATTGGGTGATCAGGACATCGGGGTGTCTCCACGAGAGGATCTGAGGGTGTTTAGCCTGGAAAAGTGAAGACCCGGGGAGGACATCATAGCGAACTTGAGAATGAGAAGGGCTGTCTGTCAGGCGGAAGCAGCGGGATTTGCTCTATTCGGCCTGGCCCCACAGGGTAAAACCAGCTTCAGTGCATGGAAGCTACAGGCCGAAAGATTGAGACTTGATGTAACGGAAAAGTTGCTCTATCTATTAGATGCCCAGCCCAGAAGATGAATAGATTGCCTCGGGAGGTAGCGAGACCTCCTTCACTAGAGGTTCTCCTTCAAGAAAAGACTGAGTATCACTTGTCAATGTTATTGTGTGGATTCGCGCTGCATCAGATGACCTCCGAGGAGCCCTGCAGCTCTCAAGATTCGGCCGCTGTTGTGTTTCCAGGCAGCGTGGTTCGAACACTGGCTTTGGAGACAAAAGACCTGGATTCAAAGGGCATATCACTTTCGCCTCTCTGGGCCTCAGTTTCCTCACCTGAAAAATGCGAAGGTCGGACTAAGGCCCTTTCCAGTTCTGTCTATACACATCAGGGTGTCTTTGTGTCTTTCCCTTGGTCTCCCTGCGCACGCCCCACCTCCACTTAATTCCCCCAGTCTCCAGGGCAGGTGCAGAGCTGGGCCTCCAAATGATCTTGTGCCCCCCAGGGAAGAGAACTGGTCCACATCCTCGAGGGCCTGGGGGAAGACCAGGGTTTGGAGCACAGATCAATCTCGGAGGCGCCCTGGGGCAGCGGCATCTGGGAGGAGGAGATCCCCGAGGACCTAGAAGAACCTCAACCAATCAGGGGGATGCCCCGGGGAGCTGGCGACAATAGAAGGTGGGACCGTCTAGGGGAGGGGTCTAGAGAAAGGGGAGGCACAATGGGGGCAGGGCCTAAAATTAGGGGTGGGAGGGATGCAGAGAGAAGGGGGCGAGAGTTCTCAGCTCACCCATATTCAGTGTTTATTTATAGGGGCTGAGTCAGCGGGCGCCAGGCCGGCTATGAAGTGGGGAGGGCAGAGAAGAAAGGGGGGGGGCCCTTCCTTCTGCCGGCCCGGAAGCCGGGGGGTTGGGGCCCCTGGCTTAGCGGGGTTTTTTTGGGGGGGGGGAAGCCTGGCGCCCCCCCAGCCCCAGCAGTTCCAAGCCTGGGCTGGAGGGAGGGGCAGAGAACAGAGAGAGTAGAAGGTGCCGGCGTTGGAGGGGGAAGGGACAGCGGCTCCAACATCTGGAACACATCAGAGGCAACTGGAGCCGCCAAGAGGGACCAGGGCCCCCAGTCACAGCGCGTTCTGAGGGAGTAGTCGGCGCCAGGACCCTGGGGGGCGGCGGCGGGGAGCGGAATTGGGAGGCGAAGCATAGGGATTCCTTCCCCAGGCCTGGGGAGGAGGGGTCTGTCGGCCGGCAGCTCCCTCCCTCCCCTCTCCAGCCCCTGGCGGACCTTTGGGACTCTAACGTTCTGAGGGAGATGGGGGCAGGCTTCCCCTCCCCTCTCCCGGAGGAGAAAGCAGCGTCTGTGCGCGGGCGCGGAGTGGGGGCCGATTCCCGGCTTCCAAGCCGGCCCCAACATCTGCTTCTCATAAGGCAGGGGCTGGGAGGCTGAGCCGCGGAGAGAGGACGGCCTAGCCCTGCTCCCCATCCCCCAGTGCCAGGTTGGGGGGGCAGGGAAAGAAACCTAGAAACCCGAGCAAGATGAGATGTCTGTAGCGAGCTGAAATCCTAAGTCTCAGTATGGTATTCTGTATCCTGTGTCCTCATCGCCCCATCCTGGCTGTTCTCGCTCCTCATCTCCACCTCCCAGAAGCCCCTAGCTTCCTTCAAGGCTCAGCCCAAGCGGCGTCTCTGAGATGAGGACTTACGCTTCTACGTACACAGCTTCTTTCCCCCGATAGAGTGTAAGCTGCTTGAAGGCAATCGGTCAACAAGCTTTTATTATGTGCCTGCTATGGGCCAGGTTCTGTGCTAGGCGCTGGGGACACAAAGACAGAAATGAAAAGTCCCTGCCCTCAAGGAGCTTCCATTCTTTCAGGGGAGACAATGTGTACATAAATAAATATATACAAGATATTTACCAAATATTTACATGGCCACGGGGTAGGGCCACTAGCAGCTGGGGGGGGGGGGGGGGGGGGAAAGGGGAAAATTAGGAAAGGCCTCTTCAGTTGAGTGTTAAAGGAAACTAGCTAGGGCTTCTGGGAACTGGGGGTGAGAAAGGAGAGCGTCGTAGGCACTGGGAAACGACTTCTTGGTCACCTAGTGCCAATCACAGTGCCTTGGAACATCGCAGGAGATCAAGAAATGCTTGTGGACTGAGCGATTGGTGAGGGCAGCTACTGTGCCCATCTAAATTTAACGAGTATCTCCCTGCCCACATAGGGCACATGGTGCCCTCATTAAGTGGTCATAGGGTGAGATGGATGGCAGGACCACAAGCCTTGGAGCTGAAAGGAACACTAGGGGCACCAGAGACGTAGGAGAATAATCAAATGTCAGGGTTGGGAAGCATCCTGAGAGACTCATCTCGTCCCTTTTTTTAGAGACGGAGAAAATGAGGCTTATTTCAAGTACCCCCCCACACACACACAAAAGGCCTTTCCTGATTCCCCCAATTATTCACGCTCCCCACCCAAATTACTTTGTATTTTGTATGAGAGGCAGCCAGCAGGTCAGAGTGAATAGACAGCTGGTCCCCCAGCAGGAAGACCCTACCTTTGACATTTCCTTGGCTGTGTCACCCTGGACGAGTCATTTCAATTCTCTGAGCCCTAGGCAACTCTCCAAAGCTATAGTTTGCAGAGAAGGTGTAGCCCTGCAATAATAGAGGGAATGTCCTCACCTGGGAGTTACCTAAAGCGACGAGATCTCAGTCCCTATCCTTACTTTGTATTTACTTGTCTGGGTACTCTGCCTGGGTATTTCTGCCCAGTACAACGTAAGTTTCCTATCTCTGGGTCCCCAGCTGCTAGTCCAGTGCTGGGCACTTAGTAGGCACTTAATAAAGGACAGTTGACTCGAATGGAATGCTTTCTCTCCTCACCTCTGCCTCCTGGAATCCCTAGCTTCTTTCAGGGTACAAGTCTGACCAGATGACTCCCCTGCTCAAGAACTCCTATGGCTCCCTACTGGCCCACTGGTGCTTCTCTTACAGGAAGCCTGGAAGCCCTTCTTGGTGTTTTAGTTATTGGTGTGATTGATTCCTCTTCCTCTAACTGTCATGTTTATATCCATCTGTTTCCTCCAGTAGAATGGGATCGCCTTAAGGGCAGTAATTGTTCTCCTCTTTGTATCCTCAGGTCATGAGGCAGCAAGGCTAAGGGGTAGCCAGAAAAGAAAGACCACCTAGGTTCAATGACCACCTCCAACACAGCCTATCTGTGTGAGCCTGGGCGAGACTGAACTCCTCAGCACCCCAGGACCTCGAAAGAATTCTCTAGAACTAGAGGAGGCCGAGGAGATGCTTGTCTGAAACGGCACAGGATGATTCCCACACCAATTTAACCACAATTCGGCAGCCTACAGTTTTAAAGGGCTGCCTAGAGCATTGAGAAGTGAAGCGACTTGCCCAGGGTCATACATCTTAGGTGGGTCAGAAATGAAATTCGAACTTAAATCCTTTTGGCTCCGAAACTGGCTCTCTATCTGCTGCGCTACAGAAAAGGCATTTTTCAAAAATGCTTATTGAATTAGATTGGAAGAGAGTGAGCCACGGGTGCCATCTCTGTAGGGCCACCGTGTCAGGAGCAGGGCCAGAGGAAGCCACCACCGGGATGACACTGTGGATTTATTTACAAAGAGAATATAGAAACAAACAGGGTCTGGCTCCCGTGGGACAAGGGTGGGTATGTGACAGGATAGCCATCCTCCATCTTCCCACAATCCCTTGCCTGGGGAGTCGCCGTCATTATAATAAATACAGCAATTTAAAAAACAAAACTAATTAAGAATTGGTGCCCCTCTGGCCTCCTCCCTCGAGCTCTATCCCTGAAAATATGTTCCTTCCCACCCCCACCCCGTTTTACTTCTCACCCAAGGTCACCAAGAAAGGGCTAGGAAGCACCAGGGAGCTCAGGCCCTCAGCTGTTTTTCAGCCCCCAAATTGGATTATAAACAGAGCGATCAAAAAAGATGACAGGGAGGCTTAGCACTACTGGACTCAACACAGTGTACCCCGTCAGAGGTTAGGAGAGTTTCCCCACGTCATCTACTGGCCATCTCTGTCATCTCGGTGACAGATAGGGTAGGGTTGGGAGAGTGAATGGAAACATGGCCCAGCTGAATGGACCGTAAACGGACCAGTGAAGATGGGAAAGGGAGAACACCCAAAAAAGAAGGAACTTGGTGGGGGGACCCAAACTTAGAGGATTTCCTTGGCCAGAAAGGGATAGGAAAGTAGAGACCCCTTCAGTACAGGGCAGGGGCTCCTTAGAGGCTCCTAGGTTCATAGAATGTCAGAGCTGGCAGGGACCTTAGAAATTGGATGTCCAACCGCCTCACTTTTCAGAGAGCGGAAGGGACTTGCTCCAGGTCACTCAGCTAGCGAGTGGCAGAGGCGGAATTTGAACCCAGATCTCATTCCAAATTTCTTTACACCATGCTGCCTACTTCACTGAGTCCATTCTACAGCCAGGGAAACAGAGGCCCCGAGTTCGCCCAAGTCCACGCCGAGAATCAGTGGGCGAACCCTGGCGTCCTTGGCTCCCAGTCTAGTCAGCCAAAGAAGGGCTGGGCAAATCGCCTTCGCGCTGCGCCGGACGAGCTCACACTGTGGTCATGACCTTCAGCGATCCTGAGCGGAACCGTAAGATCTTCTTCTTGAGCGCATGGGAGGCCTTGATCTTGACGAAGACCTTCCCCTGGCCTCCCCCCGGGCCTCCGCCAGGCCCGGCCGCCGCCGACGCGGCCGCCAGCTGCTGGGGCCACACCAGGCCGCCGCCGCTGCCCTCCGAGTCGCTGGAGGCTGAGCTGAAGGCGAGAGATTCGCCGTCACTGGCGCTCGACTCGCTCTCGCCGTAGGCCGGCCCGTAGCCGCTGCCGCTGCCCCCCAGGGGGGGACCCCGGCGTCCGACTGCCCCGCCGCGGCCCGCCGAACACTCCGAGTCGCTGCCGGCGCAGCCGTAGAGGAGGCGGCGCGGAGGGGCAGGCGAGGGCCCCGGGACCCCTCCGACAGCCCGGCCCCCGCCCCCGCGAGGCGCAGCCTTGACCCGCCGCCCGCCCTCGGCCTCCTCGCCGCTAATTTCGGCCGTGGAGCGCCAGCGGCGCGAGGAGGCAGGGGCTGCGCCCGCCGGGGTCCGACGGGGCCGGGCCGGCCTCGGCTCCTCCCTCTCCACCGTATGGTACTTGGGTTCGCCCGGGCCAGCGCCTGGCCTGTTCAGAAGGCTGTTTTCTGACTGCGAGCGGGCGGCCTTCTTGCCCCGCGGGGAGCCGCGGCGGGCCGCGCCGTCGGGGAACCGGCCTTTCCTGGCGCCTCCCGGCCGGGGCCGCTCCCTCGGAGGCGACAGCTCCACGCTGCGGCCGCGAGTGAGCGGGGGAGGCGGCGGGCCCTTGCGGCGGGCAGCGCGGGCCACTGGAGGCCCGCGGACTCCTCCGTGTGCCGCGGGGATGTACTGGGCCTTCACCAGCCGGCCCTCCCCCGGGCTGGGGGGTGAGGAGCTCACTGCGGGCGCAGGCTCGGCTGGAGGCGGGCTGGAGTCCCAGGGCGGCCAGCCCCCAGGCCCCGGCGAGCCGCCCACGCTGGGGTGCGTCGACTCCTCGGACCGTTGCCGAGCGCTGTTCTGCCGTCGGAGGGCTGCGGGCGGCTCGGCTGGCCCGGGGCCGGGACTGGTGCGGGGCTGGCCCGGCCCTGGCCGCCCACGGAGTCGCCGCCGGCGCCGCAGAAGGCCCGAGATGTAACTCTCCAGGTGGCGACCAGGGACAGCGCCGTCCGGGGGCCCAGCGATGGATGAGTCCGGATAGAGGCGGCCGCGCAGGCGGGGGCTCTGCAGGGCCACTGCATGGAGCGGGCTGGGCGACAGGAAGGAGGTCACGCCCCCGGGCCCGGCCTCCTGGGGAGCAGTCGGGTAGGGAGCCGAGAAGGAGCGAGGCACCCCTACCTGGCCTCCCGCGGAGGCCTCCTGGGAGCTGGGGCCCGTTTCTCCTGCAGGGAGAGAGGAGACGAGAAGGGGTGGGGACAAGGCCTCCTCCTCTCATCCAAGGACACTTCCCCCCGCCCCCGCCCCCGTCTCTTGTCTCTTGCCTCACTCCATTCCCTCCCCTTCCCCCCCCTCCCTTCGAGTGAACCCATGAAGTCAGAATTGGAAGATATTTAAAAGACCGTCTATCTTAGCTCCATTATTTTACTGACAGGAAACCAATCATACGAAATATAGCTTTGGAAGAGATCTCAGAGAGCATCCGGTCTCTTCATTTCGCAGATGAGGAAGCCGAGGCACCCCGAGGTCCTGAAGCTTGTCGGGTGCCGAGCCAGAACTCCCAGAACGCCCAGGTGTCTAACCCCGTATTCAGAATACCTTCCTCTGCACTGCGGCTACTCCAAAAAGGCTTGACTAGGAGACTTAGCTAGTCGGTGAACGAAGAATGGTTCCCTTCCCAGTGGGGTGGCCGCTGAAGACAATTGTTCAAGTTCTCTTTGCTCTTTCTACTATTTACCAGTTGGGAGGGCAGCTAGGTGGCTCTGGATAGAGCTCTGGACTTGGAGCCAGGGAGATCCGAGTTCACATGTGACCTCAGACACTCACTGGCAGTGTGACCCTAGGCAAGTCTTTAACCCTGTTTGCCTCAATGCATCGTAGAAGGAAATGGCAAACCACTGCAGTATGTTTTCCAAGAAAAGCCTGCGGCCATTCGGAGGTTCTGTAGAACTGGTCGCTGTTCCTGTGGTGGAATTAGCACCTCTGTAGACTGAGGACCTAGGTTCAAATCTCACCTCTGACAGTACTTGTGACCTAGGGTGAGTCAGTCAGTGTCCCTGGGCCTCAGTTTTCTCATCTGTAAAAATGAGGGGGTTAGACAAGACGGCCTCTAGGTGGTAGAATGGATTGGGTGTATTTGGAGCCTGGGAGACTTGGAACATTTCAGATACTGGCTGTGGATCCCAGGCAAATCACTTCACATCTAAGCCTCAGTTTCCTCATTTGTAGAATGAGAATTCTAGTAGCGCCCACCTCACAGGCGTGACCAATTGAGATAAGTAAAGTGCTTTGCCATCCCAAAGCGCTGAATTGCTCTTGCCCTTCTTTTTGCCAGAGCCCTGGGCCTGGGGTCAGGAAGTCTCCTCTTCCTGAGTTCAAACCTGGCCTCAGACACTCGCTAGCTGTGTGGCCCTGGCCAAGTCACTTCACCCTGTTTGCCTCAGTCTCCTCCTCTGTAAAATGAGCTGCAGAAGGAAATGACAAACCACTCCAGTGTCTCTGCCCAGAAAAGCCCAAATGGGGTCACGAGAGTCGGACAGGACTGAACGACAAAGTGCTTTGCAAACCTCGAAGCATTACGTTGTTCTCGTTACCTCCAGCTCCAGGTAGATGGCCTCTTTCCGCTCATTTTCCCCAACCC